CGGCTCGTTCGTTAAGAAACGAACACAAACAGTGACTTCACGAACAATTTCGAACACGAGCTTATTTCAAACAAACTAAATTTCAAACGACCAAACCAAACATGAACACAAGTTCTGTTCGTTCGTGTTCGGTTCATTTACACCCATAACGACGACACACTCAAATTCAAAAACAAATGAGATCAACTGAAGAATAAATAAAAAAAATTTGGAAGGAGCTGAGACGTGGATCTACCAGGTTGGGTTGGGACTCATTAAACGGACAGTCGATGCTTCAGATGAATAGTGGGATAAGAAATTAAATGTAATATTTACACTCTCAATTTGTTCATTCTCAAAAATTTTTGGTTTAACAAATAATCCTTTTAAGCCCCCTCAATATAATGTTACAGGCAACGACGACAACGAAAAAATATAAGCTGTGCGAAATTAAGTCGGACTTTAAAGATAAACTTCACATAATCTTTAAAGGGGTTGTCACAACAGGAAAGTATGCATTCAACCCTAGTGAGATGGGATTTGCAGGCATACCAGATGACTTCCCACCTGAGCCGATGATAGCTGATGAAGAATTGTGTAGTATTAACCAGAGGAGATGGGAGAGTCCAGATCACTGTTAAAGAGACCCAGACTTTGTAGGAGGAAGAAAGAAAAGAACAATTTTATGAAAAGCTCCTACAATCGACTCATTGAAGCTTTTGGAGCTCCACTCCCTGACAACACCATCTTAGAATGTGTTGGAGTGTTGGATTCTCTTCCTAAAGTAGTTGCCGACATGCGATTTCATGCAAAGTGAGTAAAAAAACTCGAGGATCCTACCCGTAAGCAAATATTCATGACGCTGCAGCCCGAATTGCACGTCGAATATTTGCGTGTTTTGATGGACGAATGAGTTTTTTTTTGTGTTGATAGTTGTAGTTTTTCTTATGTTATATACTTCTAAATGAGTTATTTTAATATGTTGTTCTTTGTAGTCATATTTTTTTTTATGTACTTCTAAATGATTCATATTTTTTTATAAGTTGATCTTTGTACATTTTTTATTTGATGTGTAATTTGTAGGCCTCGATGTTTTTATTGCTTATTTTTTGCTACTATTATGTCTTAACCATTTTTTTAACACATACATCATTTTCCTTTAGGATGGATCCGCATTTAGAACGCCGTAAATGAATGATATGGGTTGCAGCTATTGCGATATTTTTGTTGGAGCATTACCGATCCAGCAGTGTTCGCATACCCCGTATGGCATTCAGCTTTGTTGAGGATAAATGGGTAGGTGAGATGTTTTTTAGACATTCAATAAAGTTCATCAACATATTTCAAATGAGTGCACCTATTTTTATGAATCTCCTTCACGAGTTATCTCTGAATCACGACCTCCAAGGTTCTTCTAAAAAGACAAAAAGGGAAGTGTTGGCTATAACATTATACATTCTGTTACAAAATGAATCAATTAGAAGAGCTATGAAGAGATTTCAACATTCATCATAAACAATTAGTTGTTACTTCTCCAAAGGCATATAGACACTTGTTAGTTTAGCAGCTCAAATTGTTAAGCTAGATGATCCATCATTTTCTAGTACTCCAGAACAAATTGTCAATGATCCCCGTTACATGCCTTATTTCAAGGTAACTATTGGTTTCTTTACGTTACTTTCAAAATATAATTAGCTTCTAACAGTGTAAAATATAACAATATAGGTGCAATCGACGATACACACGTTGATGTCTGACTACCCAGCCACGACAAGGTGGCGTACATTGGTCGGAGTGGTTCAACGACTCAAAATATCATGACAGTATGTGACTTCAACATGTGTTTCACTTTTGTCATGGCGGGCTGAGAAGGGAATGCACATGACAATCAAATTTTCTCCTATGCAACTAGGAATAGATCACAGTGTTTCCCTCACCCGCCTTCAGATATGTTTTGTTTTGTAAACGTACTAGTTATATTATTTGATTGATGTTAGATATCATATGATCTTAGATATCATATGATGTTAGTTATTAACAGTGTCTTTCATAACAGGAAAATATTATTTGATTGATGTTAGATATCATATGCATAAGGGTTACCTGAAACCCTATCAGGACACCAGATACCATATTCTTGATTTTGAGAGAGCAAGTGACACCATCCGTGGCAGGGAAGAAATGTTTAATAAACGTCACTTCTCTTTACGCAGGGTAAATGAAATAACATTTGAGGTTTGAAAGAAGAAATGAGTCATCTTACGTGATACGTCGTCGTATCCATTTACAAAGCGGGTGCATATTATGGTGGTCACAATGACACTTCATAACTTTATCCGACGACATCTCTCTCAATTAGACAAGGACTTTAGTATGACTGATAACGATGAACTAAATGTCTTTGAAAAACCATCAAAATTTGTGGTTGAACCTTCAGTACTTGAGGATGAGATTGACTCTAATAAATACCAAATTCATGACGTTGAATGTGTGGCCGAGATGACTGCTTTAAAGGAGTCCATCGTAGATGTCATCTATGACAGCTGATACACCAAGTCTTATTTATTTATTACACTATAGGTTTATTTTCGTCTGCATTCTGTTTTGTTTTTTTTTTCAGGATCTGACAATTGATTTCTGTTTTTTTTTTGCAGCTATAACAACATGACTTTCAGGATTTCGGGGACCAACGGAGTTGCCTTTTGTTACTGCTGACTACTGGCTCCGTTACTCATGTCACGTCAACCTCACAGCAGTGGGAGACAGTTCTACGGTTGTCGCAGGGACGTTTCAGCTTGTTGCGGTTCCTTTTGATGGGCCTACTGTCCAACATATTACACTACCAATAGTGATCGGGATACGATGATTTCCCAGGGTGACAGTGCAGCTGAGGACGGACATAGTCAGAGTTTGAAATTGAATATTTTAATATTTCTCATTGTAGTTGTAATTGTATTTTTCTTTATTTTATTTCTTATGATACTCGTGAGAGTGTGAACACTTGTGTCAACCTTTTAAACTGATCTGTGATGATTTGTGACTTATGTTTTATCTATTTTTGTGCTCCTTTAATTCTGTTGCAAACAGTTTCATCAAATATGGGCATAATGATCATTTATCCAGTAACATCTATTAATAAGCTATTCTGAATAAGTTTTCTCAAACAACAAACCACCTTATTCTAATAATTTGTGGATTATCAGATTATCAGAACAATCTGCTGCCCCGTATAAATAATCAAAACAAAAAGTGAAATGAAAAAATATACTTACTCGGGTCGACGGTTGTCTGGACCGCCAGACCATTAAAGTAACATTTACCGCCGGTACTCCGGAACTGTTGCCAGTACGAATTAAAGGCATAGCTCGCATGCGCCGCCACCGTATTGGGCTGGCAGCATGCCCCCCCGGTTTGTATAGCCGCACACGTCCTGTTACCCTGCCCGCATGCGAAGCTCAGCGCAGCCCCCACAGCCGTCAAGTTCCCGCCGCGGCCGTTATCCAGCACGCACCACAGCTTCCCTTTATAAGGCTCATTGTTCCTCGCCGACGGGAGCGGCGGATAGCTCCCCTCCGGGCGGCGACCTGTCAGATCCACCTCGTACACCGCCGTCCCGTTAGGGTACAGCAGGCCCCAATGCCTCTCCGTCCCCGGGCCAGGCTTCAGATTCTCATTATACAACGAGAAAATGAAAACCGGGATCGCAGCCGCCGGTCTCGCCGGCGTACGGAGCCCTCTCTGCTCCGCCACCCGTATGGCAAGATTCCTGTTGTATATTGCTGCGTTATGCACATTCGCTCCGATCTGATCAAGATCGCCGGCATTCGGCCACCCGGTCTCCGCGACTCCTAGCCGGACTTCGGGGTAACCTTCAGCGGCTATAGCGGCAGGCCAACAGTACAC